AGCGGTCTTCTGTGGCCTAAAGGCTAGAGCCCTCTTTATATCAGGCATATTTTCACAGGATTGCAAAATACAACTAGAAGTTATAGAGGAAATAACACAGCACTGGTGCTGAGTGCCCACTGACATGGTGAGCAATTAATTACAGCAATTAATTACTCAGCAATTATTTTCTAAGAAATGAAAATTAAATATTTGTTTTTGGCTATTAGATTGTGAATTTCATAAGAGCAATGATGATATTCTTATTTTTTTTTGTATTTTCACCAAGTACTAACGGAAATATTCTAAACCTAGTAGGTACTTAATATGTATTTGAGGAATTATTAAGTAGATCATGGCAAAGGATAGGAAGATAACATCAATTTGCATTTATTTGTATGATACTTTAAAGGTAGCAGAAATACGTTGCATACATTATCAATGTAGATCCTCACAACACACCTGTGAGGTCACAGGATAAAAGCAGCATAGAATTAGAGCCAGAAGGGACACTAAGTGAGATATCTGGTCTAATTCTTTTATATGATTTTTTTTTAAATTTAGGAAAACAAGTACTTAAATTCAGGCACCAATAATCATCCATATAAGGAAGAAACTGAACTTCTACCACATCTAAGTTAAAAAAAAAAACCAAATATATGTGAGTATTAATCTAGGTATTAATAGATATTCTTAATATTCATATGTATCACTGCCTACCAATCTATCTTTCCTTCTCTCTCACCCCCATCTCTGAGTAAAAATCCTCCCTCATAATACATACGTACAGTCAAGAAAAACAAATCAAGATATTGGCCATGTATGAGAAAGCACATCTGGTTTTGTACCTTCAGTCCATCACCTCATAACCAAGAGTTATAAGATGTGTTTCATCATCAGTCTCTTTAAGTCAGGATAAGATTTTTTTCTTTAATCAATGTTTTTAGGTCTTTTAGAGATGTTACCCTTCACATTATTTTGGTCAAAGTATAATTTGCTTTTCTGGTTCTGGACACCTCACTCTTTCAGTTCAAATATATCTTTCCATATTTTTCTGAATTTATCATATTCCCCATTTCTTACCACACAATCATATTACACTGTATTCATTTATCATAGTTTGTTCAGACATTCTGTAATTGATGATGCCCTATTATTTTCAGTTTTCTTTCACCAAAAAAAAAAACAGCTGCTAAAATATTCTTAAACATAGAAGGCTTTTCCTTCTTTCTCTGACCTCGTAGTGGTACATGCCTATTTGTAGTTTTGGTAGGTCAAAGGATATATATTAGTTAGTGACTTCTTATTTAAATTTCCTAACTCTTTTCCAGAATCAATTCTGGAACCAATTCCCAGCTCCACCAACAGCATACTAGTGTGCCTACCCTTTCACAGCCTCTCTGATGATTACTACTTTCTTTTTCTCCCCCTTTAAAATCATCTTTGCTTGTCTGATGTGAGTGAGACGAAACCTCATACCAATATCCTCATTTTAAAGATAAGGAAACTGAGGCCTACAGATGTCAAGTGACTTGTTCAAGGTTACATATTGAAATATGGAGAAACTGAGGTTCACAGAGATTAGCAACTTCCCTGTGGTTATATGACTAATAAGAATGGAGATAGAATTTCTACCCAAGTATTTTCTGACCTCAAGACCAGCACTCTTTTTTTATACTACAATGCTACTTTGATCTATCTATTGGCTGAAATAAGAAATTAATACAGTAAAGAGAAACATCATGTTCTTTTAAAACTCATACTGTGGGGGGCAGCTAGGTGGCACAGTGGATAGAGCACTGGCCCTGGAGTCAGGAAGACCTGAGTTCAAATCCAGCCTCAGACACATAACACTCACTAGTTATGTGACTCTGGGCAAGTCACTTAACCCCAATTGCCTTACAAAATAAAAAAATAAAAAGAAAGAAAGACAGAAAGAAAACTCATACTCTGATGCTATAATAATGAGCCATGATTCCTATAAGGATAGTATTGACCCAACATACGCAGAGTTGCTTTGTCCTTTAAGTTTTTTTATTATCCATAAAATATAACTAATTGATACAAACTGATAAAAAACTTGAATATTTTTTGAAAAAATTTTATTAATTTATTTTGATTTATCAACAATCACTTCCATAAGCTTTTGAGTTTTAAATTTTTCTCCCCTTCCCTCTCCTCTCTCCCCAAGATGGCACGCAATCTGATATAGAATATACACAGCCATTCCTATTAAATATAAAAAACTGAATATTTTTGATACATTTGATAAAAATTTAATATTCAAAAAATTGAATTAAAAATTGATAAAAAGACTAACTGACCTGCTAGATGTGTTACATAGTTCTAATTCTTTTGATACCTTTTATCACAAAGTCCTTTTTTAGTTGTAATAAAAATTATATTTCTGATTCTGAGCCTATCTGCATTAAAGAGAAGATAGAACAGGGCTGAGTTTCTTTGGAGAAGGAACCAGTCTAAGAACTGAGTAAAAGCAAGTGATCTGAATAAAGCAAAGAAATTGATGCTATAAAGCATCATGTTAATGCCCTTTTAAAATAACTATGCAGATGTAACAATTTATATCCCTGAATGGGAAGGTAACCTCTATTTAAGGAATGTTATGCAGTAACAGGCTAGTTAGGAAAACTCTGAACTGGAACCATATCAGAAAAAGGAAAAGAGGTTTTTTTGTGTGTGTGTGCAGAAACAAAACCTCAAGCCAATCAAATTATTATAATGAAAATTCAATTTTTATTTTAGTGGTCAGCCACGTATGAGGCAGGTGACATTTAAAGGAATATCTGACTTTATCAATGTAGTTATTCCCTCTACATGGATGCAACCCACCCATGCCCTTTTTTATTCTGAGTAAACTCTGTCTATGTTCTTGAATAGATGACAGATTTAAAGCTAGAAGGAAAGCTAAGAGGTCTTCTAGCTCAAACTGCTCATTATACAGATGAGGAAGATGAGGTCTAGAGAGGTTAAAAGAACTTGCCTAATGTCAAAAAGGTAGTAAATGGCAGAGACAAGATTCGGACCAAGGTCTCCTGATTTCAAATATTTTCAATTGCTCTATCCTACCCCTCCCATATTCTCTGCCCCTTATAGTTAATTTTGTCATTACAAAGATAGATCTGCCATAAAAAAATCCTTTGTGAATATCTGTCCATTTTTTCCTTCATATTTTCACACCCAGGATGTGTATACAGTAAGATTTTTATAAAAGCAAGAAAAACACATGAGTTGAAAGATACTGATGTCTTCTGGGCCATCCTATGAATTCAAATGAATCTGTATTAAAAACTGATGTGGTCTTTGGCTTCTATAACTTTGAGCTTTTTTTTTTTCAATTTAATTTTTTTTTTAATTTTAGGCAATTTGGGCTGTGATTTGCCCAAAGTCACACAGAGAGCAAGTGTGAAGTGTTTGGTCTGAGGCCGGATTTGAACTCAGGTCCTCTTGACTTCAGGGCTGGTGCTCTATCTAGCTGCCACCAGTGCCACCTAGCTGCCCCTGGTTTCCAAAACTGAATGGAAAGGCAATCAAGTGTTTGCTGGCTAAGCTGATTTCTGAGCACTCCTTGGTTAATTCTTGAGGGTAATGGTGACAATCAAGATAGCCATATATATGACTCATTCTATTTCCTATTTATAGGAATATCAACATAGTTTATTTAAGTAGTTCAGGTTAAAACAATGACCTTTTTTACATTTTTTTCTAATTTGAGTTTAAATTTGACTTTTACTTTATCTAGATGATAATCTAACAGTGAGGTAGTTGATTTTGACAGCCCTTCCACAATAATACGTTATTTTTTTCTAATGACATATAATCAAATTCATTTTTGTGTGTGATGTCATTCCATCTTTGCCATGTCTAGCACCTTCCAACTCTTTCTAGAACAATGTATTTATGGTGTATAGATGTGAGGTTTCTGATCAGTGTACAACTATTTGGTCTCTTTTATTTCTCAAAACTGAGCCATACTTTCCAATTTTTCATAGATCATAGATTTACCACTAAAAGGGACCTTGGAATTAACCTGGACTAACTGCTTCATTTTATAAAAGGGGAAATTAAGACTTAGAAAGAGAAAGACCTTGCCAAATGTCATAGATGCAGTAAATGGGACTGTCAGGATCTGAACCCAAGTCCTCTCACTCTAAAGCCAGTGTTCTTTCTATTATTCTATGTGGCTTTCTATATGTTCACTTTCACATTAAAGGTAGGAAGTACACTTGACTTGGTTTGAAGAATTTTTTCAAGTTCTATATAGAATTTCTATCTTTCTTTACCACCTGTAACAGATATTAGCACACAAACTGCCATTTTCTTTCCAGTGTTTCCTTTGACTTATTCTTATTACAAGTATGGCCAAGTGTCCCACAAAAAGGCTGTTCTTTTTTCCCTCTGTGCACATAATGACACCAATATGTCAAATTCTTTGGTTTATGTCTCTTAGAAAAAATCTGTAGCAATTCTTGCATTTACTACATATGTGTAATTTCCCTTCTCCATCTCCTCCCCACTTTCTGTTTTTCATGACAATATCAATATTGGTACAGTTTTGGTTTCCCCCCCAAAAGTATGTCAACTGTTTGGTCATCATATTTGGATTATCAACAGTAAATCTTTATAAATGGTCAAATAATTGTCAATCTTATCATGCTCTGTCATTTTTAAGGACTTCTTGTTGTTTTTAGCTAGTCTGTAATTTCATTAGTATAAGATGTACCCAACGAGGATCTTTAAAGTTATCTTCAAAGTAATAAGTATCATGTCCTAACTAAAAGGAATCTTATCTGAAGTCACATATATTTCATATGATTTTCAAATGCGTCAGTACTTAAAATATACACACAAATTCATTCAAAAGAAGTTATAGCAATGCAGTTATATGAGCCTCTTCCACTGAGCCAAATGGGAAAAGTTTATAATATGAAAATGGCTACATTCCTCTCTAAAAATATATCATAATTTCTATGTTGATTTGACAAGATAAGATTGTTACTTACCAATTCTTTTCTAAGCTGAATAAAAAACTGCTTGCATTTAAATGAAATTTTTACAATCTTCAACCTAAAAAAAAATTAAACTGGAATATTTAAGATATATATGCCAAAAATGATTAAAACAGGAAAAGAACAGATTTATTCCATGGCAATAACCACTTCTATTCACAATTAATACATTTTTTTTACAAGTCATTCATTGTTTAGAAAGATATTTCCAAAAAATTATTGCCTGAAATTTCTTATGACTTGAATAAAATATTATTACAGTAAAGAAAAATAATTACTTGGTTAAGTTTATAATTGCACACAGACTACTAAAATCATAAAGAAGATTGATTTTAACAAATTCTAAATCACAAATGTTATCGAATATAAAGTTTGAGGCTTTATAGTTTACATGATTAATACTTGGTCAATTTAAAAAAAAATTAAACTTACATTTCAAAACCATTTTAATTTATTCTTATACCACTCTTCCCCTAACGTACAACTTAAATGTGAAAAACGTTCTTGTAGGTGCATTCAGATCTGTGATCTAAGATGTTTTTCAAAAGGACACAAAATGGAATCACCACCAGTGAAAGACTCTGTCCCTTGTATTATAACACACAGCTATAAGTATCACTCAAATTTCTTTAAACTTCAATCTCTATAATAAGGAGCTAAAAGGGTCCAATGTTATAGAAATCTAGCTTTGGGGGATCTTCAGCAAGTGACAGAAACAGACACACTGAAGGTAACATTAATTTTATATTTATAGTCAGTGTCTACATTTCCAAAGGGCAGGACACTGGCACATAACTTAAAGGTATCTTTGAAAGAAGCAAATGAAGTGAAATCTGCATAAAAAGAATTCTCCTCTACTTTATGTTATTTTGGGGGCAGAACTAATTGCTATTTCCCCTTCAAATAAGAACTTTTTAGCTAAGGTTATAAATACACGTAAAACATGGAATTTATAGCTGACAAGAGATAGCTAGGTGACTGGGCCTGAAGTCAGGAAGACCTGAGTTCAAATCTGACCTCAGACACTTACTAGCTGTGTGACCCTGGACAAATCACTTAATCTCTGTTTGCCTTAATCCACTGAAAAAGGAATGGCAAATCACTCCAGCATCTTAGCCAAGAAAATTCCATGGGTAATATGGTCCACAGAGTTACAAAGGGTCAGACACAACTGAACAACATACTTGTATATATGTATTTATATATGCTATGTTGCACAGCAGAAAGAGTTCTGTTCTAAAAGGTCTGTATGTCCATCCACACGTATACATATATTCATATAAATGCTTTAGTTTTGTGTTCTATCCTTCATACCGTCCCCACCCTCCAACCCCCGCCCAAATTATACACACCCAAGATTTATCCAGGAGTTAGAAAGCAACTTAAAGCTAGTTCAATCCCCTGATATTATTTTGTTTTATTGATGCTTTTTTCTGCTAGTAATTTCCCAATACCATCCCCTTCCACCACATTCCCTTCTAACAAAGAAAAACAATTAAGCAAAACCAAGTAACACAAAGACTGTATTTGTTAAAGTATAGAACATTCTGCACTCAATGTGCCCACCAACCCCTATCCTACCTACCCCCACTGAGAACAAGGAGTTGTATTTTTACCATTTTTTTCTTAGCACATTACATAAATGTCAGCTATTGGTATTGCTATTATTTAGCACTAAGAAAAGATGCGTCATAATTCAATATAATAAAGAAACTCCTTTGGAAGACTAAATGTTTTACATATACACGTATTACTGTTTTACAAATGAAGATGGTACAATGCTTAATAAAACAGTCACTTAAAAGTGTTACTGAAATCATAATAGCTTGTCATCATGTATTTTCTCAATCAATGAATACCTACGTCTTTTCTTCTGATTCTAGATAACTGATTTCATTTCTGTTAAAGTTTTTCAATTTTATACAATCAAATTTTGTATTTTGTCTTTTATCATTTCCCTTATCCTATGTCAAATTATGAATTGTTCCCTTATTCCTATTTGGAAAAGAAATAATGTTCTATTCTCTAATTTTTAAATGGTATAAACTTTATATTTAGATTACATATTCACTCGAAATTTATTACAATATGGTGTAAAACGCTGATGTAAATCTATTTTTCATCAGTTTCCTGAGGGGGAAAAAAAGCATCCTTTGCCTACTAATTTGTTCTATGTGTTATATGTGTGTCACTGCGTGTTTATTTCTAGGTCTTGCGTATCTGTTCTATTCTACAATTTACAGATAAAAAGCTGGATGAAGGCAGATGATATGCTTATCAAATTTTTAGATAAAACAAGTTTTAGGTTAACATATTGTTAACATATTGGATTACAATCAGGAATGAAAGAGATCTTGAGAGGCTAGATGACAAGCTAAATCAAATAAAATGAAAAAAGGGGGATGGTGAGATAAAGTTTACATTTGGATTAAAAAAGGTTAACTACATAAGTACGAAAACATGTATTTTATATATGTATATACACACATATAATGTATGGGGAGGGGAGAGAGAGAGAGAGCGAGAGCGAGAGCTTAAAGGGAATGTAAATATGCAGTGTGTCTAGAAAACAGACCCAGTGCTTTCAGTGTATTATAAATTTAATAGCAGTCAACAACAGTGCAGTGCTTGCAACCAAAAAGAAGCTACCTCAAATTTAGTTTACATTAAGAGACAGTGTCAGATATATCCATACACTTAAGAAACTCATAAGAGTTCCATGTTTTTTTATTTTGGTCAAGCTGTATTAGGAATATTTTGTTAATGTGGTATGGGTACCACATTTTAGGGGGGATGTAGACAAACTCGAGTATATCCAGAAAGAGGTAACATAATGATGAGGGGCCTGGAGAGTGAACCTTATGAGAAGGAATGTAAGGAACTGGGGATATTAGGCCTGAAAAAGAAAAGAGTTAGGGAAGGAGACGTTAGTTGTCTTCAAGTATTTAAAAAACTTATGTGAAAGAGGGATTAGACTTGTTCTACTTACCCCAACCCCCGAAGGCAGAACTAGGACGAATGGGTTGAAGCTGCAGAGAGGAAGATTTAGGCATGAAGCAAGAAAAAATTTTCAACAATTAGAGCTACCCCAAAATAGAATGGGTTGCCTTGGTATGTAGTGAATTCCTTTTCAACAAGTCCTTCAAGCTGAGATGAGTACCTGCTAGGGATGCAGTAGAGGAAATCCCCGGATTTCTATGTAGGTAATGAGTTGAAATAGACACTATCTGAGGTCCCTTCTGAACCTGGCGATCCTGTGAATGTGATCTTCTTAGTCCCTAATTGATGTCAGCAAACATATATGACTAAGATTGGCCATTTTTAATGGTGCTGTATTGAGTTCTCTGGATGTAACTGAATCTACCACAGGACATCGGGAAAAAATCAATAAAAATATAGTTCAAAAAATTAGTCTATTTAGAGGAAAAACAAATGATTAAAAGGTATCCACAATAGGCTAGACTGATGACAAGAAGCAGATTCAGTGGACATCTCAACTTTTTAGTCATGTCGGAAATTAAAAATGTGGTTAAACATAAGTTTCAACTGACAAGTAAGATCCAAATACTGGACAAAAAAAAATTAGACATGATTTTTTTTGGAAATCCAACAAACATTAGATACAAATGTAAAAGAAAAGGTATTAACAGAATTTCTTACCATGGAAAGGTGTTCATTCGTACCCTGTTCTTGTAAATTAGTATTCCTCCTGACATTACGCCAATCATAATTTCATTATTACTTTGATCCTTTAAAAAAAATACAAAATACCACAAAAAGGAAATAAATATAGGGTCAAATTTTATTTAACTGAAAGGGCTATTTTAAAGAGCAGTACAAAAGAAGTTATGTATATTATTTCTGGTTTAATAATTTGCTTCTAAATATTCTAAGTAGTACAGAAAGAACCAAAATGGCAAATGCAGAAAAATAAACAGCTATCTTTAATACTTAAAATGGAAATTCTTGTTTCTAAAACTCCAAGAGTAAAAGTTATATGACTTTGGGATCACTCTAAATGGGGCTAACTAAGGTTAACCATTCAGAATTGAAAGGTGAATCCAAGAGGACAAAGAATCATCCATTGATATGATAGCCTCTAAGGAATGGTGAGGGAACACCAGAACTAAGCATTTCCTTCACCAGTGTGTTCTCTCTTCCCATCCTGATTACATGGCTCAATTGTACAACACAGAGGATGAGGATGAGGAAAAAGATCTCACTGCAAAAAAGTGCTGAATCACCTGGAAACAGTTATGATTCAATATCCATTAACTGTATGATGTCATGAAAAACGTATCTCTACATTAGAAAAGTCTTGTGGAAAAAAAAAAAGAAAAAGAAAGAAAAAAATATGCCACAATCTGCATTCTAGGTCCATCAGTTCTCTATTTGGAGGTGAAGAGCATTTTTCTTCATGAGTCCTTTGGAACTTGAGTGGGTTATTGTATTGATCAGAGTTATTAAGTCTTTCAGAGTTGATTAACTTTACAATATTGCTATTGCTATGTAAATTATTCCCCTGGTTCTCTCCAATTCACTTTGTATCAGTTCATAAAAATCTTCCCAGGTTTTTCTGAATCTATTGCTTTCATCTAAGAGCATAATAGTATCTCATCACATTCATATACCTTATTATGTTCAGTCATTCACCAACTGATGAAGATTCCCTTCAATTTCCTATTTTTTTGCTACCACAAAAAGAGGTGCTATAAATATCTTTGCACATATTTCCTTTTCTCTTTTCCTTTGATCTCTTTGGGGCATATGTCTAGCAGTGGTATTACCAAGTCCAGGATATGCACAGTTTGATAGCTTTTTGGACAGCTCTATATTGGAATAGCTCCATATTCTTCTCTGAAAGGTTGGACCACTTCACAACTATACCAATAGTGCATTAGTGCATCTATTTTCCCATACCCCCTCCAGCATCTGTCATTTTCCTTTTCTGTTATCTTAGCCAATCTGATAGATGTGAGGTGGTACCTCAAAGTTGTTTTAATTTGCATTTCTCCAATCAATAGTATACAGAACATTTTTTCATGACTATAGATAGCTTTCATTTGTCTGAAAACTGCCTATTCATATCATTTGACCATTTATTAACTGGGGAATGACTTGTATTCTTATAGATTTGACTCAATTCTCTATTTTAGAAATGAGGCCTTTATCAGAGACACTTGCTATAAAATTTCCTCTCCAGTTTCTTTTATTTTGGGCTGCACTGGTTTGTGTAAAAACTTCTCAATTTTATGTAAGCAAAATTATCCTTTTTTACCTCCCATAAACCTCTCTATCCCTTGTTTGGTTCATGAACTTTTTGTGTAACTACAGATCTGACCGGCAATTTCTTCCACGCTCCTTTACTTTGCTTTTGCTATCACCCTTTATGTCTAAATCATGTACTTATTTTGACCTCATCTTGGTATATGGTATGAGATGTTGAGCTATGACTTCTTTCTGCTAGACTGCTTGACAGTTTTCCTAGCAGTTTTTGTCAAATGATGAGTTCTTGCTCTAGTAGCTGGGATCTTTGGGTTTATCATCAGTCTACTGGGCTCATTTGCCTTTGTATGTTCTATACCTAATCTGTTCTGCTGACCAGACTCTATTTCTTAACTGGTACCAAATTGTTTTGGCTATTACAGCTTTGCAGTATAGTTTGCAATCTGGTACTGCTAGGCCGCTTTCCTGTCCATTTTTTCTTTCCCACTGATTCTCTTGATATTCTTGACATTTTGCTCCTCTAAATGAATTTTGTTATTTTTTCCTAGCTCTACAAAGTAATTTTTTGGTAGTTTGTTTGATAAGACACTGAATAAGTAAATTAATTGAGCTAGTATTGTCATCTTTATTATACTGGTTCAGCCTATCCATGGGCAATTAATATCTCATATTATTTACATCTTCATTTGTGTGAAGTATTTTGTAATTGTGTTCATACTTGTGTGTGTCTTGGCTGGTAGACTCCCAAGTACTTTAAACTGTTCTCATTTATTTATCTGAATTTCTCTATGTCTTCCCGCTGGGTTTTGGTGGCAATATACAGAAATGTTGATGAGTATTTGGGCTTATTTTATACCCTGCAACTTTGCTGAAGTTGTTAATTGTTTTGACTAGTTTTTTAGTTGACTCTCTAGAGTTCTCTCTAGGTAAAACCCTCTTATCATCTGCAAAAAGATAGTTTTCTTGTCTTATTGTTAGAGCTAGCTATGATGGTTAGTACAATATAGAATAATGATAATCATGATGGACGTCCTTGCTTTACCCCTGATATTTGTAAAAGTTTATAATTTATCTTCATTATAATGCTTGCTCTTGATCATTTTAAAAAAAGTTTCATTTATTCCTTTGTTTTCTAGTGTTTTTAATAAGACTGGGTGTTGTACTTTGTCAAAAGATTTTTCTGCATTTATTGAAATAATCATGATTTTTGTTGTTTTTGTTACTGATATGGGCAATTATGCTTACAGTTTTTTGCTAATATTGAAGCAGCTCTGCATTCCTAGCCTGGTCATAGTGTATGACCTTTGTGGCACACTGTTGTAATCTACTTGCTAGTATTTTATTTAAAATTCTTGCATCAATATTCATTTAAGAAATTGGTCTATCATTTTCTTTTCTATTTCTGTTCTCCCTAATTTAGGTATCAAAACCACTATTTATGTCACAAAAGGAATTTGGCAGGACCCCTTCTATACATATTTTTTCAAACAGTTTACACAGTATTAGAATTAATTGTTCTTTAAATGCTTGGTATAATTTGCTTGTAAATGCATCTAGTCTTGGGAGTTTTTTTTCCCTTTTGGGGAGCACATTACAAATAAAATTTTACTACTTCATGCGCGAAATCATAATCTTTTCTCTTTATTGTTGTCCTTACATGTTTGTCAATGGATATGAAATGTATGACTCATAAAAAAAAAATAAAACACAGATGCATAGGGATAATGATAGCTAAGGGGGAAGTACATTAGAGACCAATGCTGACTTAGAATTGATCCAAATGGCTACATCAGCTCTGAAGCTATCAAATGGTACTATCATCTTGTCCATATTCCTCCAGCTTTAGAACAGTATTACATGACAAAGTCTGACAATGCTTTGTTAAAATCCAGGTATTTCTTTCATCTACCAAGTCTTACTTAGTATGCTCCACCAAAAAAGAAAATGAGGTTAATATGACAGGACCTGTTCTATACTAAACTGTGGTGGGTCTCAAACGTTACAAACCATCTTTTGAATGAAAAACCTACAATTTTTACAGGAATTAATCTCACAGAACTACAGTTTGAAGTTTTTACCCTCTTCCTTCATTATAAAAAAGTTTGACATTCACTTTTCTGCAGCTCTGTGATACATTTCCCGTTCTCTGTGATTTTACAAAGACCACTAATGGTAGCTCAGCAAATTACAAGTTCCTGTAGTAATCCAGGATGTCACCTTGAAATTCTTCCTGGCCCCCCTCCCTTTTTTGTTTTTTGCAAAATGGGAGGATTAAACTAGATTATCCCTAGAATCCTACTCGGCTTTAACTCTACAGAAACCCAACTACAACTTATCATCTAAATCCTAGGGAGCTGCCTGAAGCACATGGAGGCTGATTTGCTCAAGGTCATACATCCAGCTAAGTGTTAGAAAGGAAGTTAAATGTAGGTTTTTCTGACTCCCAGTCCAGCCTTATCTGCTATGTCATGATGCTGCCTCTCTTTGGCTTCATTAGGAAAAGTACAATGTTCAGGACTAAGGAGTTGGAAGTACCACTATATTTTGCTTGGGTCACACCACATATGTAGTACTGTTTTCAGTTCTAGGCTCTTTGTTTTAAGATGAACATTAATAGGCATAAGGACATTCAGAGGAGGGTGACCAGGATGGGAAAGGGCCTTGAGATAATGTCTTATGAGAATCAAATGAAGTAAGGATGTTTAGACTAGAGAATAAAGAACTTGGGAAGAAAGATATAGAAAATGTCTTCAAGTATTTGATGGGCTAACATATGGAAGTGGGATTAGACTCATTCTGCTTGGCTCTAAAGGGCACAATTAGGAAAAATGTAAGAAAATTACAGAGAAGCAATATGCTTTGAAATAAGTAAAAAAACCTTCCAAACTAATAATTAAAACTACCTATACGTGGAATAGGATGCCTCAGAAGGCAGTGGGATCCCTGGTTAGAAATTTGTTGGAGATATTATAGAGGAAACTCTTGGTCTGGTTAGATTAGATAGCCACTGAGGTCCCTAACACATTTGAGATTCTCCAAGTCCGTTATATAGAAGTTTATGTAATCCAGAACATATGGACATTCTGCTTTTCTGTTAAGGATATCAGCCTTCCTGGTTCTGGCCTGATTTAGTTTTCATTGGCTGACAAGGATTAAAAATAAATTTCTCTCAGATATTGGATAGAGACAAAGAAGAAAGGGGAGGCAGAGCTGCTAAATTAAGTATTGTGGGGTGAGAGAAATGGAAAAAAAAAGGTTCTCAGGGATATTATAATCTAGTTTGGAAACTGTTAGTATACAAGAAAGGATGCTAGAAATAAAAGATGGTAAAGTACTAAAACGCATTTTTTAAAACTTTCACATGGGATTTTATTTTGCTTGTATGGTTTTTTCTTTTTTCATTTTTGTAAAAGAAGAGAAGCAAAGTAGTATGGGTTCTTTCTAGCTCTATTTCTGATTTTATAAAGCACCAAGGCTTTAGAACCAACTAATCTCAGTCCTGTTTATCAGTTTCATGCGATGA